TTTTTTTTTTTTGTGGTTGGACTCGATGATCTCAGAGATCCCTTCCAACCACTAAGATTCTGTGATTCTGTGATTTCCCCTGGGCTCTTGGGTTCCTTGGCATGATTTCCTGTGTGTTCCCTGCCACCCTTTCCTTTCTCATCCATGCACATCACTCCAGAGCGTTGTTTCAGCTGCAAACCAAGCTGGACACATGACTTTTTCACAGGATGCTCACATCTAAGCAGCAGGAGTGGTTAGACTGGGGCAAAACCAGTGCTGTGGAGTCCAGGTTTGGGATGGGAGCCCATCAGGAGCCGCTTGCAGGCCATTTGGCTAACGAGGCTAATTACTCACAGAATTGGTCACAGAAATAGTGTGACCAGCAGAAGTAGGGAGGTGATTGTGCCCCTGTACTCGGCACTGGTGAGGCCACACCTCGAGTGTTGTGTCCAGTTTTGGGCACCTCAATCCAAGAGAGATCTGGAGGTGCTGGAGCGAGTGCAGAGGAGGGCAACGAAACTAGTGAAGGGCCTGGAGAATAAAATCTTATGAAGAGTGATTGAAAGAGCTGGAACTGTTTAGTGTGAGGAAGAGGAGGCTGAGGGGAGACCTCATCACTCTCTACAACTACTTGAAAGGACACTGTAGAGAGGTTGGTGCTGGTCTCTTCTCACAGGTAATTAGTGACAGAACGAGAGGGAACGGCTTCAAGCTCCACCAGGGGAGGTTTAGATTGAACATTAGGAAGGAATTTTTCACCCAAAGAGTGGTCGGGCATTGGAACAGGCTGCCCAGGGAGGGGGTGGAGTCCCCATCCCTGGCTGTGTTTAAGGGCCGTTTAGATGCAGTGCTGAGGGACATGGTGTAGGGGAGGACTTTGTAGAGTAGGGGAGATGGTTGGACTCGATGATCCCAAGGGTCTCTTCCAACCTCAATGATTCTATGATTCTACTCCTGGGCCAGGTGCTCCTTTCGGGTTGGCCTGGGTGATACCAGCAGTGAATGATGTTCTCTGGTGGTGTCTCCTTGTGCAGTTCCTGGTGGCAGAGCTGACAGATCTGTCCCACTCTGGTTTGGTGCCAGCTCGGGGGGGTCACTGCTGTCCCCATGGCCACCACACTGGCAGGACCAGTGGCCACAGCAGCGGTCAGAGTTCATTCCTGATGTCTGCTCATCATAACTAATTATTCCTCCTGCCTTGGACTAGGATTAGAGATGAGAAATTCAGCTGCACGTTGGAAAAGAACTACTATATTTAATTTTTAAACTGCTGACGTGCTGGGGGTAGGCAGAACATCATGGGAAAACCCCACAAATTTCCAGTCCAATGAGAGTTGTGTCCTGGTTTAAAATTTAAAAATAATTTTCCGTGTGTGTGTGTGCACGCTCTGGGACCCAGCCGTCTCCAAGGGGCTCGTGTCCACTTAAAACTTTTATTCTTTATGGAATATAAACTCAATGTTTTTAATTGGTGCTACATCACAGCTGGGGAAACAAAGCAGGTATGGCAGTGACTCATCTGCTCGTCAGCCACCAGTGACTGGAGAATCACAAAATCACAGAATCTTCTAGGTTGGAAGGGTCCTCAAAGATCATCTTGTCCAACCATCAACCCAACTGACAAAAATAGACACCCACACAACAAACAAGGAGCATCATCACTAAACCAGACCTCCCAGCACCACATCAACCCGGCTTTTGAACACCTCCAGGGATGGGGCCTCCACCACCTCCCTGGGCAGCCCATCCCAATGGCTGAGAACCCTTTCAGTGAAAAAATGTTTCCTAATATCCAGCCTGAACCTCCCCTGGGGCAACTTGAGGCCATTTCCTCTTGTCCTGTCGCCTGTGACTTGAGAAAAGAGACCGACCCCCACCTCTCTACACCCTCCTTTCAGGGGGTTGGAGAGAGCAAGAAGGTCTCCCCTCAGCCTCCTCTTGACTTATTCTCCAGACCCCTCACCAGCTTTGTCGCCCTTCTCTGGACTTGCTGCTTTTGGACTGGTTGCTCAGTCCCAGGTGGAACTTGGGGACTGGATGCTTTTTTTTGTGTCACAGCATTTTGAGGGAGAAGGGGAGGAAGATGGGATGTGCAAAACTCTTCTTATTTTTTTTTGTTGGCCACATGCCAGGCTGAACAACCCCAGCTCCCTCAGCCTCTCCTCATCAGACTTATTCTCCAGACCCCTCACCAGCTTTGTCGCCCTTCTCTGGACTTGCTGCTTTTGGACTGGTTGCTCAGTCCCAGGTGGAACTTGGGGACTGGATGCTTTTTTTTGTGTCACAGCATTTTGAGGGAGAAGGGGAGGAAGATGGGATGTGCAAAACTCTTATTTTTTTTGTTGGCCACATGAAAAAAAAAGGGGAAGCTGAAGAATAGTTTCTCAAACTGAATGGCAGAACTTGGTAAACTTCGGGAGGACATGGCTAAAGCGTGACTTCTCCTTGGCTTTAACTTGTGCTTTTGAGTTATAACTTGGAAGAAAAAACGGGAATGGGTTACAAATGCTCATCTCTAAGCTTAATGTGGAGTCTTGGCGTGGCAGGGGAGCGCTCCCTTCGCTGGCAGGTGATTGTTGGAACCATCAAATGCTCTTTCTGCGAACCGCCGCAGTCTGTGGGTGTCTGACGTGGCCTCTGGTGTCTCCGCAGCCCCCCGAGGTGGAGCAGCTGGGCAGGGTGGTGGAACTGGACAGCGACATGGCAGACATCACCCAGGAGCCTCCCCAGGAAGCCACGGCCGAGGACACGGTGGTCGAAGAGCCCGAGGCAGTGCCAGCTTCAACTCACATCGCCTCCACCCTGGGCATCAACCCCCACGTCCTCCAGGTGGGTCTCTTTGCAGATTGACTGGGTAATATCTCGTTCTAACTTCTCCGTTTGCCTCCCAGAAGTGTTTATAAACCACGTTTGTAATAAACTGTGCATCACCAGTGATCAGAAGGTGGAGGGAGGTCATCCTGCCCCTCTGCTCTGCCCTGGGGAGGCCCCAGCTGGAGCACTGGGACCAGTTCTGGGCCCTCCAGTTCCAAAAAAACGAGGCAGCTGCTGGAGAGGGGACTGGATGAGGAGGGGACTAGAACATCTCTTGGCTGAGGGGGGATCTGATCAACACCTATAAATACTTCAAGGGTGGGTGTCAGGAGGATGGGGACAGGCTTTTTCTTGTGGTGCCCAGGGACAGGACAAGAGGAAATGGGCACAAACTTGAACAGAAGAAGTTCCATCTAAACATGAGGAGGAACTTCTTTCCTGTGAGGGTGGCAGAGCCCTGGCAGAGGCTGCCCAGGGAGGTGGTGGAGTCTCCTTCTCTGGAGACATTCAAACCCCACATGGACACGTTCCTGTGGGACCTGCTCTGGCAGGGGGTTGGACTGGGGGGGTCTCCAGACGTCCCTGCCTACCTCTTATTCTGTGACCACACCTGGAGTGTGATTAAGACTTACATCCTCGACTTCTGTCTTTCTGTGGTAAACACACATGAAAAGCTTCATGCAGACACATGAAAAGCTTGATGCAGAAATGAAAATCATCTTAAGGCTAGAATTCAGATTTCCAAATTCATAGAATCATGGAATGGATTGGGTTGGAAGGGACCTTAAAGCCCCCCCAGACCCTCCAGGGATGGGGCAGCCACAACTTCCCTGGGCAACCTGTTCCAGTGTCTCACCACCCTCAGAGTAAAAAATTTCTTCCTGAGATCTAATCTGAATCTTTGTTCTTCCAATTTAAAACCGTTTCCCCTTGTCCTATCATTATCCTTCCTGGCAAAGAGTCCTTCTCCAGCTTAAGGCTAGAGAATCGTGGAATGGTTTGGGTTGGAAAGGACCTTAAAGCCCCCCCAGTGCCACCCCCTGCCCTGGGCAGGGACACCTCCCACCACACCAGGTTGCTCCAAGCCCCCTCCAACCTGCCCTTGAACCCCTCCAGGGATGGGGCAGCCACAGCTTCTCGGGGCAACCTGGGCCAGGCTCTCACCACCCTCCCACCAAACAAGTTCTTCCCCACAGCTCAGCTCCATCTCCCCTCTTTCAGGGTCAAACCCTTCCCCCTCCTGTGGCTCGAGTCCCTCCTGGCGTGTGGGCAATGGGATAAGCTGAACTAGTAGCCAGGTCTGCCTCGGGGCCAGGCTGTGGAAAACAAGATAATTTGGGATTTGGTGGAAGTCTAGTACCTGGAACACTGGAGAGCTTTCTCCTGTACTTTTAATTTTTAAGGAAAAAACAATGGAGTTATGACTTAAGCTTAAAAACAAGTAGGTAGAGCTCAGATCTCAGAAAACATGATTATTTTAGGATTTCACACCCGTGCTAAGGAGCACCGTGACACTGATTTAACTAGTAGTTTGTACAAATTAATCATCAGCTGATGAGTTCTCCTGAGCTGTGTGCCTTCAGTGCTACTTGGAAGGTTTGTGGCATGAGTGTGTTGTCATGTGCAACACGTGGAAGTTCTCTTGATTGGGAAGGGAGCTAATTAGATGAGCTGCTAATGTGCAGGCTTGATTTATTTTTTTTTTTTTTTTTTTAGATTATGAAAGCTTCCCTGCTTGCTGATGAAGACGACCTGGATTTGATCCTGGATCATTATCCTGGGAAGCAACCTGTAAAAATGGACACTTCTCAAGAGATCTGTTCTCCGAGGCTCCCCATTTCCAAATCCCAAGGACAGAAAAGACACTCAGGTATTGTGAGAAACCACAAACCCCGTGGAAACAAAAAAAAAGAGCTTAATTCTAATATCAACAGGTAAAAATCCTGTCTTGGGTTGAGATAAAGACAGGGAGATTGTTTCTCGTTACACAAACCTCATTTTAATGGGTGACAAATTAATTTTCCTCCAGTCAAGTCTGTTTCCCAGGTGCTGTCACAAGAGAAATGGACAAATGGGAACAACTCCTCAATACTCTGCCCCCCCTTTTTTCAGGCTCAACTTCCCTCCTTCATCCCTGACTCCTCTACCTCCTCCCCACCCCAGTGGGGATGGGGAATGGGGGGGTTGTGGCCAGTTCCTCTCTGTCCCCCTTTGTCCCTCACCCTTTTTTCCCCTGCTCCAACATTGTCCTCTCCCCCTCCTCCTCTGACCTTGGTGCCTGTTCTGCTGCTTTCACCTTTTTTGGGTTTTTTCCCTCCTTTCTGCTGGTGTGACTTTTTCTGCCCTCTCTTAAGATCTCACAGAGGCATCACCAGCTTTGCCACAAACTCATAGAATCATAGAGTTGCCCAGGCCAGAAGGGACCTCCAAAGGCCATCTAGTCCCACCTCCCCACAGCCAGCAGGGACACCCCTGCCTAGACCAGGTTGCCCAGGGCCTCGTCGAGCCTCTCCTTGAATATCTCCAGGGAAGGGGCCTCAACCACCTCCCTGGGCAAC